TAGCCCGTGGAGAAGGGCCTGATGCAGACCTCCTGCTGTGAACCTGAGCTCTCTCATCACTGACAATTCATTTCTCCAGAATAGACTAGCTTCTGCTAAGAGTTTAAAAAGGTCAACAACAGTCCAAACAAAAACCCTGTACACCCCAAATGAAGACATATTCAAATGAAACCCTTGCCAGGGCCGGTAAGAGGATGTGAAATCATCAGGTGGTTTTCCCCTAAGCTGAAAGGCCTTCAAGTCACTCCCTTCCTAAATTTGCCTGCAGAGCGTACAACACTTGTGAGTACTCGTGGGTATTTGTGAGTTTGCCAGGCAAGAAAATGCTGGTGGGAGTTGGCGGTGAGAATTAATGTTCTTCCCAAACACCATGGCGCAGCTGGTAACATGCTTCAATGAAAGTTACCTTCTTTTCAAAACCTGCTGGACATTTTTCTTCAAGCTAAGCGTACAGCGACTCCAGCGTTCAGCTCACCTCTCCCTCTCATGTACGTACACACATGCACACATGCATGTATGCACCCCTTGAAGGAGTTGGAATTGTGCCTGGAAACCAGTCTGTGTGCCGCTGGTTAATTAGAGCCACCATTCAGTGCGCATGTGACTTTCTGAGGGTTCCTCACGGGCTGGCAGCGGCTAGAGAGGCGTCCTGGGACCCTGATGAAGGAGTGGGGCCAAGCGTGTCCTGTCTGCAGCGAGCACATCTGGGGCTTATGGTGCTGGGGGAGGGCTCTGGTCAGCACAGGTAGGCTCTGACCCCGGAATAATGACCTGTGGGGTCAGGGCTCCCACCTTGAGACCAAAAATACATAGAAATTGCAGCCCAAAGATATATGGTGCTGGAGGAAACACAGGGCTTTGGAAAGAGCACTGAATCCAGGACCTGGCCCTTATTGCTCTGTGACCTTGGACAAGTTACTTACTCTCTTGGAATCTCTGCAGCAGAAGAGAAATTCCTTTATAAGAAAAATGCATTTATTTCTTTCCTGCATGCATAAAATAATCACCTTGAATTCTAGAATGTTAACAATAAAAAGCCATTTTAGATTATAATTATTTAGTCCAATCTCTTTATTGTATCAACAGGGCTCAAAAAGGTCAGGTGACTCACATGGAGGTCGCGCAGCAGGTAAACTGAGGAACTTGAGCTGTAAGTCCCTTACATAGACACCACATGTGGCTATTGACACTTCAGTTCAAGTTAATTCAAAAGAGAAAATTTGAAATTCAGCTCCTTTGCCACACCAGCCACATTTCAGTGCTCGGTAGCCGCATGTAGTAAGTGGCCGGTGCAGGTAAAGAACTTATCATCACAGGGAGTTCTATTGGGCAGCCTGAGGCTAGAGGTCAGAACGCAGATCTTCAGACTCTAATCCCCATGTTCTGTCCTCTGCTTCTGACCTCCCTGGTTTCCTTCATGAAATACAAGGGATTCAGCAAACCTACGGGGAAAGCATTTGATCTGGCTTCTCAGGTCCCCATTTTATGCAACTTAGAAATCTCATTGAAGTTGAGCCACTACTTAGGAAATGATCAGTGATGCCACTGGTCTGCTTATGAGAGCCAAATGGACTCCTTGTGTGGTTACAATGAGGAGATGGAAGGTTTTTTGAATTTGGTGGTATGGTTCTATTTAAACATCTTAAACAGAAGGTGTTTCATAATGCGGGCCAACTCTTGTGTGCTCCGAACAAATATATTCCCATTTCTTTTAAAAAGCACATGGCCAGTGACCCTTGCTGCTGACCTCCAGAACGTGGTCACCCCAAGCCTCAGATGTGTAGTGTGGCCACTATAAACAGCCTTGGGCTACACATTTTGAGGCCTTGGGGAGAGGAGCCCAAGGAAACTTCTACAGCGGTGGCATGGTCAGAGCACAAGACCAGAGTCTGATGGAGTCGGTGTCGACACTGGCCAAGCCCACCTAGGCCCTCCCTGTGCTTCTTCCTCTCTCCTTTCGCCACTGAGACGGTCAGAGGCAAGGACTAATGGCACCTCTAACATTCTCTGTGTTAACAGAGGACACGTGGCTTAGAGCCTCCCATAAAGCATGACATTATCTATAACTGCTCATTCTACATCAGTGGCTCTTTACATTTTGGGGATTACAGACCCTCCAAGTATCTACTGAAAGCTGTAGATCTTCTCCCCAGGAAACTACATATATGTACCATGTGCTCCATTTTGTATATCATTTCAGGCCATTGCTGGCTTTGAAGCTGGAAGGGGCCAAAACCCAAGGAATGCAGGCAGCCCCAAGAAGCTGGAGAAAGCAAGAAAACATAGCATCCTCTAGAGCTTCCAGATGGGAACACAGTTCTGCCAACACCTTGATTTTAGCCCAGAGAGACCTATGCCAAACTTCTGACCTCCAGAACTACAAGACAATAAACTTGTGTTGGTTTAAGTCACTATATTTGTGTGGTTATTTGTTACAGCAGCAATAGAAGCTAACACAGATTTTGGTCTTTAAGGATCCACTGAAACACAACTTCCCAAAGACGATTCTGGCCTAAGAGTCAAGCTGTTGTTCTCCGTGAGCAACGGCAGACGCCGCCCCAGGCTCCAGGGGACAGAGCACAGTCGGTAAGTCAGCCACAGGCACCCTAGACGATGCTACTGCCAACAGAAGACACACCTCTTGCCTGCTCAGGGCAGAAAGGACACGCGTCCCAACCTGTCTTTTAAGCTCCTCCCCACTCCTTGCAGGACCAGACAGCACATGAAACAACATCATCTTCAAAATCAGAGAATGGCAATGTCTGCGACACTACAAAACCTCAGTGAAGGAGAATTTTCAGAAATCATGTTTCTGAGGTTAGCTGACTTTTGAGGTCAACAGATAACAACTAGACAACAAGCTGAGTTTCAACCATCCGTTCCCTCTAAGGATGCGCCCCACACCGGGCTCTATCCTTCACAACCGAGGACCTGGCAGAGCCTGGGGATCAGGGGTCCTGTTGAGGCTCTGGTGGGGGGACACAGGGGGCGTTATTGCAAGAGAAGGATCAGGTTTGGAGCTGCACGTCAGACCCAAACTCTCTCCCAGACGTGCCTTTGAACAAATCAAGTCCCACCCATCAGGTGGTGGTTGTGCAGTTTCTCTTGTTTTCCCTGGCTGATGGGATGCATGGGGCAGGAAAGGGGATGTCTATGTGTATGTGCATACATGTAATGTGCACACATATTTCATTCCTCAGAATAAGCCTGAGGGATGGTTTCCCTTTGTAACCCACACCGATGGAGCATGAAGGGACTAAACTGTTTACAAATGTAGGAGGGGACTAACTGGATTTACACAGAACACATCATGATCACGTGCAAATAGAGGATGTGGTTTAAACTTGAATTCCAAGCAGCAAGAGAGACTTTCATCAAAAGAAAACCCTCCACCACCACCCTGTTGTAACTGTTCCTAAAAAATGTCTGGTCCCCAAAGCCAGAATGCCTGCGCTTTCCTGTGGCACCTGCAGTGGCCTCTTTCCGCTATAGCCATTCTGCTCTTTTGATCTGGGATCGCAGAGCCTATATCATCTAAGGGCTGGAAAGGTCTTCGATTTAAGCAATACTATCTTACTTTAAATGTCAGCTGATACCTTTCTGTTGCTGCCCAGAAGGAGAGCTGCCTTGTCCAAACCAGACAGAAGCCAGGTCCCTCACAGCCCCACTGACTTTCTTTCTATGACCCTCAGAACTTACTGGATTCCAAAATATCCCTTTAACTTCCCCAGAGATTTCAAATTAAGCAGGATTTCAGAGGCTTGCCTATCTAGTGTCTACATGGGAGCATGCGTGAGGATGCTTCAGAGACCTGAGGACCAGCTCCTCAGCCCCAGGGAGAAAGCAGGACTCCACTACCTGTTGATATAATGAAGCCCAGGGAGACATGGCTGGCTAAATCTTGAACAAACACTTGAAATAACTTGTCCTACACACCAAGTAGGGCATATAGGAACAGCCCCAGAGGCTGGGCCATCTTGAGTTAACTCTTCCAAATTTGTGTCCTATGGCATTCAATCCAAAGGGAGCCCAAATCCCCAGGGAAAACCATTCAACCTGTCAGCCAAAGGATGCCCTGTTGACACATTCTGTGCCAATAACACTGTTTTTCTCCATTCCCACCAGGGCTCAGCTTTCGGAAAGGGAAGTGCCTCGATCTGCAGCTGTCAGTGATCGACTTCCTATGGCTCTGCCCTTTGCTGAGCTGTCACTCAGCCAAATAGTAGAATAATGCATATGTTTGGTCCAAGCCTCCTTCGTGCCCCACAGGGAGTGTGGGTGAGGCCACAGATTCTCTCTCAGCTGAACTTGGCCTGGCCGGGAACAGTAAGGAGGTGGAGTGTGGTACTCTCATCACCGAGACACACAAAGATGACAGTACACCAGTGTAACAGATGCGGCTGCAGCTCAGAGCCACAGGCACACCTCCCGAACCGAGCTAGGGGACCACACCACCAGCGCCACTCACAACCCCCGGCAGAGGGCTTCCAACGCAATTCAAGGCATTTTCCCATCTGATTCTCATAACCTCGAGGGAAGTAGAGGAACTATCTCTTGGCCTGTATCACGAAAGCGGAAACTTGAGATACCTCAGCTTTCCCAGAGTCACGCAGCTGGTTGGGGAGGGACTCCAGGGAAGATGCCACCTTCACCAAGGGCCAGCCCTGGCTCCTCTCTGACTATCTCCTGGCGTCCTCAGAAGAGGGCTTGGCTCTGAGTTAACGGTGCCATTTGTTGAGCACTTACTCTGTCATGCACCGCCCTAGGCATGGTCTGCAGCTCCAGTTCTTACAGCTGCTTTCTAGGGACGCTGTAGACCAACATTACAGATGGAGAAAGGGAGGCTCAGAGAGGTTAACTGACTTACATAAGGCCACACAGCTACTGAAGGATGGAACAGGGATTCCAAGCCCCATCTATTGGCCCCAAGCTCTTTGTACTAAACCACCGAGAAGAGGACCAGTTCTCCCACCCTGTGGCTACCGGATGAAGAAAGCTACCTCATGGCCACGTTGCTGCCGTCGATCACGATGGGTCGCAAGGAACTGGCTGGGCCTCTGCTCCTCTCTTCTGGGTCCGCTCCCAGCCCGTGCTGGGCAGAGGCGGGGATCCCACAGGAGCCCCGGGGGACGAGCAGGGGTGCAGCGCCGGCCTCATGGGCGCTGGGGCGGCTGCCCGTCTGGATCAGCTCCTGCAGCATGTCGTTGACCAGGGCGTCCTCGCCCAGCTTGCCCAGCACCTTGACCACGTCCTCCCGGCCGTAGCCCAGCTTCTGGAAGAACTCCATCTTGCTCTGGCGCTCCATGTTTGGCCAGCCACCCGGCGAGGGTCCTGCCGCCGGCTTCTTCCTGGTGGAGCCCTAACGGCATGAGCTAGAGAGAAAAGGCATCCATCAGGTGCTTTCTGGGCAGCCAGGCTGTGGGCTTACTGCGGGCAAATTATGTGTGCTCCCTCCCCGCCTTATCTGTCAGGAAATCATGTCGACGCCTGGCCCCCTGGGGATTTTCAGTTGCTCAGTGAGGTTGAGGAGACACAGAGGCAACCACCTTGCTTTTACTAGTGCTTCTCCCAAGCCTTCTCCCCACCCACGGCCCCTTGAGGACCACTGGCCACAGGCACCCAGGGCAGCAGAGAGGGCCACACAGCCCCCAGAGTCGTAGGTTGACACCCTAACTCCAGTCTCTCAGAATGCGACTGTATTCAGAGACGGGGCATTAAAGAGGTGACTGAGCTAAAGTGAATGTCAGTAGTGTGGGCCCTGGTGTCCTTATAAGAAGAGATTTGGACACAGATGGTTACAGGAGGGAAGACTATATGAAAGCACGAGGGGAAAGGCCATCTACAAGCTAAGGAGAGAGGTCTCAGAAGAAACCAGTCCTGCCAACACCGTAATCTCAGGCATCTAGTCACCAGAACTGTGAAGCAATAATAATAATAATAAATACAATATAATAAATTATATCTACACACACACATTTATATATATGTCATCCCTCAGCATCCTGGGGAGGCAGGGAGATTGATTCCAGGACCCCTGCAGATACCAAACTCTGTGGATGTTCAAGTCTCATATAAAATGGCATAGTATTTGCACATAACCTACACACATCCACAGGTATACTTTAAAGCCTCTCTAGATTAATACAACGTAAGGGCTCTGCAGATAGTTGTAAACGCAACGTCAGACCATGTAAATAGCCGCCAGTGTGGCAAATTCAAGTTATGCTTTTTGAAAATTTCTGGAATTTTTTTCAAATATTTTCAATCCACAACTGATTGAATTTGAGGATATGGAGGACCAATTGTATACACGGTTTATATATATACATACACATACACGTTAATATATATAAATGTATACACATTATTTGTATATATATAAATGCCAAGTCTGTGGCATTTTATCGCGGCAGCTTCAGCAAACGGATACAGCGCTTCAGCTGAAACAAGGGGAAACGCCCCTGGTGAATTCTATTCCCAGAACACGATGCTCTGACCCAGTTCAGCTCTGTGCACTGGCCTGGCTTTCCCTAGTGATTAATTCAGATCATACTGAGCCTCTAAAATGGAAGGTCCTAACCCAAATGTGACCCTTTCCATTCAGACATCACTGCCTGACCTACACCTTTGGGGCGAGGGTGGGGGGCAGGGGGCTGCACCGTGACAGACGTTTACCAAGAAAAGACGATTAAGCCAAAAGGAACACTCTGAACAGACTGGGTCCCTCTCTCTTTTCTACTGACGAAGACCTACATCTTTCAGAAAGCATTTTAAAATATAGAAATTATCGTGAAAATACATTTACTGTGAAAAAAAGAAACCATGTAGACAGATAAAGAATAAAAAGCCATGCTGTCTCCTTGTACATGCCCCAGTCCCGCCTGCCTCCCTCCCGCCTCCTTCTAGCTCTTGTCCTACGCGTTTACCTGCAGGTCCGGAAGGTACACACGCGTATTGTTTTAGGGAGGTTGTTTTTACGTAAATGTGTATCATATTGCACATATTGTCCAGCAATTTGCTTTCCTTATTCAAAATGCATCTTGGAAATCTTTCCCTGACAGTTTATCTGTTCTGCTGCCTACTGCACCCCCAGCATTTAGAATGGTGCCTGGCACAGCTGACTCTCAACGCATATTTGTCAAATGAATGAATGAAGAGTGGTCATATGCCAAATGATGGAAATTTAGATGGTCTTTGATTTTTCCCTGTTCCAAATCATGTTCAACACACACTGACGCACATCTGTCAATTCACCCTATCCGCTTCTCAGTGTTACAGGTTCTTCATCTTCAGTCCTAGTCTCCTATTGGAATCCTCTGCAATGTTCTCATCTCCCTTCTGGGTTCCCAGAGTGGCTTTCTCCTTTTTTTTTTTTTTTTCCATGGCCTCTCCTCGTAGTGCTGGAACTTGAAGAGAACTCACAATACCTGGGGCTGGCAGGTCAGGGGCATTTGTCAGCCAACCTCCTGGACAGAGATGCCTCTGCAGCAGCCACCACCTGTCAGCCCTCACCCGCCCAGTCCCCTGATGGCTAAAACGCTACAGCTGCCCCCCAGGTCACCAGCAACCTCCTAACTGCCACACCCAACTGAATCTTCACATTCCTTGCCTTATGCAACCTCTCTGCTGCTGACAACTCTGTGGACCACTCCCTTACTTGTGACTTTAAATCAAAAAATTGGGGGCCACCTCCTTCTTGAAACTCTCTTCTCCCTCAGGTTGTGCAGCTTGGCCTGGATCTCCTCCTAAGCCTTTTCAGTCTTTCCTTAGCTTCTGCTAACTTGTTCAATGACAGGGTCCTGGCCAGGCCACCTTCCCTCCACTTCACGCCCTCCGCCAGCCCCTAGATCCGCGAGCCCACAGCTCACTTCCTGCTCAGACCTCTTGCAAAGCACCAGGCGCACACAGCTGTAAATCTGCAAGCTGAGTGCCACACGCGCTGTTCAATAAAGTGTCGTAAGAACTCAGAATGCTGTCACTCACCAGACATTTGCTGAGTCCACTTCAGTGGTTCTCAAGGTGGGGTCCCCGGAAACCTGGCGGGGTAGGGGGGAGCCCAAAACCCTTTCAGGGAGTCTATAGGGTAAAAACCATTTCCATACTAATGCTAAGATGTAATTTGCTTTTTTTCACTCTGATTCTTACAAGTGTACCATGAAGTATTCCAGAGACTACACTTCATTGTGATACTGCAACAGTTTGAATACGAAAGCAGATATAAGAGGACATCTGTCTTCCATTAAGCCAGATATTAAGAAATTTTCAAAAATGTAAATCAGTGCCAGTCTTCTTACAGATTTTTTTGGATCTGGAAAATAGAGGGGTTTTTTTTCATAAAAAGACATTATTTATATTAATATAATAGGTTTGTGATTTTAAAATAAATGAATATTTTAAAATTTCATAATTTCAGATTCTAATAAGATACAGAGCAATAGATAGATACAACCCACACAAATAAAATTTCTTTGGGGTCCTTAATAGTTTTTGAGAGTGAAAGAGGTTCTGAAACCAAAACATATTTTCTTAAATTTAGAGCTTCTCAACAGATATTTCCAGATAGATGATTCCATGTAGGTGGCCTATCAACGTGTCACCCAGGGCCCCAGGACAGAGGCCCAGTGTCTTTCCCTCCCTCAGCCCAGCGCCTCTCATGCCTGTCTCCTACTGCCCACTGGCCCCACCGAAGCCTCAGGGTCCACCTTCTTCATCCCACACCCAGTGCACAGCAATGGCCTCCTAGGGGGTCCCCTCCTCAGTCCCGTCTGGCCCAGCCCCCATGTGTAGCCAGCACTGTATTTCTAGAACAAGCCGACCATGTCATCTCCTGCTTAGAAAGCCTCTGACCCCGTCCTAACTACAAGAAAGACACCAACTTCCTAAGCAAACAGCTGAGCTGTCAGGAGGCAGCGCTGACCCCTGTCCACCTCCCACCCACCACAGGTCCACCTAACCCTTTCTCTAGAACCATGCTGAGTCTCTCCCAGCTCCCCAAGCATTCCAGAACGTTCTCATCACTGTGCTTCTGCATGTGATTTCCTCTCTACATGGAATGCTCTTTTTGGTTTGGCAAATGTCAGGCTTCAGCTCCAATGCACTCACAGTGGTCTCCCTGACTCCGCAGAGTGGATGAGTGGCTTGGGCATCTCATGTCTTAGGCACTTTGCTCAAACCTCTGTTATGACACATCAAATTGTCATTTATCTAGTTTTCAAACTGTGACTGGCTCTCTGACCTCTTTGCACCAGAATCATCAGCACCTGGCTTAGTGCCTAGTGTATCCGAGGGGGTTAATAGCTTTTCCTTTAATAAATGTCTAAAGCTGAAATTATCTTCCCCCTCAAATATTTTTTCTTGGGTTCCCATCTCATCGAATGGCATCCCCCAGAGCCCAAAGAAGAAATCTCAGTCACTTTGACTTGTCCCTTTCCCTCGCATCTACATGCAGTTAGTCATTAATACTACTTCCTGGACATTTTCCGTAACCATGGTCTCTTTTACACTCACACCACCCATACCCGAGTCTGTCCCTTCCTTCATTCGTCATTCATTCATTCATGTGACAGACACTGATCACCTTCTAGGCAGCAGGCACTGTGCTGGGGCCCAGTTCTATAAAGACAAAATAATAACTCAGTCCAGTTTCAGTTTGTTCACAGGCTATTCAGGAAAACAGACAGAAAGTGTGAACAATGAGCCAGACATCACGATGATGAGCAAATTAGAAAAATGTGCCTTCACAGATCAGGTGAGGATGACTTCTCTTCCTCGGAGGAGAAAAGAAAGGTCAGGGAGGCCTCACAGAGCTGGACAACCAAGGACGAGCTGGACTTCCCCATCAGAGAAGGGCCACGTCCCCTCCACGGGGCGCCCGCTCCCAGGTGGGCTGCCCCCCAAACTCCCACTCACGACAACCTTGGTCAAGTTGGGCCACTGACCCAAGACTTCCGTGTCTTCCCAAACATCAATGTCCCTCCATCCTATACAGAGTAGATGTCAAGACCCTCAGCATGAGAGGCAGGGCTCCTCATAGCCCGCCTGAGCCCCCTCCACTCCAGCTGGCCACACATCTCTAGTCCAGCCTCACTTTTTCCTCCCTAACTGGTGACCAGTCCTTTTCTCTCAGAACGGTTGTTCCCTTGGGTGGGCATCTAGCTTTGACCCAGGCTCCGTAGAGGAAGGGGACACTCATCCATCTGGCAGGCCAGCCTCACTCCAGAGGTTGCTCCCTGTCCCTGAAAGACCCTGGTCTCCTGGGCCCGCAGGCCCTCCTTCAGGGTTCCCTCTGCGGAGCACCTGCTCCTCCTCCCTCAGGCCTAACCCCACTGTCACATCCTCCGAGAAGCCCTCCCAATCCTGATGGTCCCTGCTACTTCCACCGCCACCTTCCCCGCTTATGCACGCACTGTAGCTCTTATTTTGGTTTAGAAGAAAGAGAAAGAAGGGAAGCTTGAAGGAGGGGTGGGAGAAAGGAAAGGGCAGGGGGCAAAAATGAGACAGAAGGAAAGAGAAGAGAGAAAGTACAGGCAACATGAACATAAATGTTTGTCTTCACGTTGTTTTTCATCGTTTCCGTGTCACATGCATGCAGAGACTTGAACTTCCCATTACCCCAGGTGGGTAGATGGGGGAGATGAAAGTATTCCCTTCTCACAGATGAAGAAACTGAAGCTCAGAGTGGCACAGAGCAAAGGTTACACAGCTAGTAAATGTCAGAGATTGACCGTAAGGAGATGCAGCAAATAATATGTTGCTTTGAGTTGTGTTCAAGACAGAGGCGACACCTTGTCTTTGCCTAAATGGAAAAAGGAAAATATGACTGGGTCAGGTGACTTCTCTTTGGTCACCAAGTTAGAGCTACAAGGAGAGTTCATTTGGTTTGCAGCTATGTATTCTGGTATGACAGAAACATGAACCTTTTCAAAATGAAAGCACTTGGGGCTTTTACCTGGGGTGGGGGAGTGGGAGTGAGGCCCCACGCTTGGCAGCTCTCCCGAGAACCCTGAAGTTCCAACAGAGTGCCTTTTCTGAGGAGACTTGAAAGTTGATGCGTGGGACAGAATTAACTGAAAGAATTCACCTACTTTAGAGGCTTTTATCCCCCCTTGAGACTTTGAAATAACTTGGTTTCCGTTTAAAATTTCTAAATAAGGGAGAACACTGGGGTGGGAGTCTTAGTTCACAACCCCCCCCTTCAGCCGTGACAGTCTTTGAGCTGCAACACTGCCGGCAGCTACTTTTTCCTTTCTATTTTTAAGACCTGAAAGTATGAACAATTTCATTTTGGTTTTCTTCCTCAATCTTGACTGGAAGTCACAAACAGTACAGATGATTTAGTAACACTTTCAAAGTCTTTCCAAGTCTCCTGAGCTCTTAGAGTGGTCAGCATGCCACGCTGGCCTGTGCTCCGCCGTCCAGGCTGCGGAGGCGGGCTCGGGGCCCGACAGAGCAGCAGGAGAGGAAGGGAGGAGTTGGGGGGGGTACCTCACAGGTGGAAGGATGGGGTCACATCAGATCTAGAGTCAGCCAATCTGGCGGGAAGGGCTCTGGGCCAAAAGTCTGTAACCTCTGGCTGGAAGAGCCCTTGAGGAAGAAAATAAAAGAGAAACAGAAGAATGAGACAATGAGAGAGGTCGGAGCCATGAAGAACCAGCAGCTCCCACGGGCACTGGATTTCATAGTTAGAAGGTGCCTTCTAGTACATCGTCTTCAGAAATCCCAAGTCCCTGGGACGTGGAAAGGGCTACCTCCCTACTCATGCAACAGGTGAGGAAACTGAGGGAAAGAGAGGTTTAGCCACCCAGGAGCCCACAGCTAATGGATGGGAGAGACTAGACCCCCAAGGGTGGTAATTCTCCCCAGAGGGTGCTGTCCAGGGCCACTCAGGGGTCACAGAGCAGGGCCAGCCCACACCAGCCCTGGAACGAGTGCACTTAGCACACGGCTCTGACCCCCAAGTCTCTGTCAGCTCTGGAGAAATCAACCCCATCCAGCCACCAGAAGTTGCCCACCATGGTGAGGAGAAAGTTGGAAGGGTCATGCACAAGTTTTCTGGTTCAGCTCAGACCTAGAGGCTCTCAGGGGAGTTGTCAGAGTTTGAGGAAGTCACAGCGAAGCAAAGACTTCAGCCCATGAGATTTGTGGTTTTGGCCTGGACTTTTTTTTTTTCTTCTAAGGGAATTATAATTTTTTTAAATTGTGGCAAAATACTCATAACATAAAATTTACCATTTTTAACTGTTCTTAAGGGTGCTGTTCAGGAGCATTAAACAACCGTTACCACCATCCATCTCCAGAGCATTTTCATCTTCCCAAAATGAAACTCTGTCGCCATCAGACTCCCCACCCCACCTCCCTCAGCCCCTGGTAGCCACAGTTCTACTTCATGTGTTCGTGAATTTGCCTGCTCTAGGTACCTCATGTAAGTGGACTCACAGTATTTGTTCTTCTGTGACTTGCTTATCTCACTTCACATATGTCTTCAAGGTTCATCCATGTTGAAGCATGTGACAGAATTTCCTTCCTTTTTAAGGCTGAATAATACTCCGTTGTGTGTATATGCCCCATTGTGTTTATCCATTCATCCGTCCATGGACCCTTGCGTTGCTGCCACCTTTTGGCTGTTGTGAATAATGTTGCTATGAGAATCCGTGCACTGGCCCATCCTTTTGTTTTCTCCTGGGAACTGGTCCCCTGCTCTGCTGAACTGCCGAAGGTTACTTCGGGTGTACACTCAAGTATTTACACCCTGGTCAATACCACAGGGCAACTTTGAAGCAAAGTTTAAAACAAAACCCTCTACTCTATGCCACTCTCAACCTATTCACTGTCGGGTGTTGGCACTCGTGGCTTGACAACATCTGGCCCTGGAGAGGAGGTCATAATCTTGGGGGTCAGGGCAACCTCCAAGGAATTAGCCAAAGGAATTAGCCAACATTATATTCATTGCCATCAGATGAAGACTTATTTCAACGTCCTCATAGGCCTCCTCGAAGCCCACAGACCCATCCCCTAGAAGAGATGGTGTCTGGGGCTGCTGCCAAATGTTCCTGATCTGCCAGGAAACGAGACACCCACAAAACAATTGCTAGTCTAGAAGATGCTTTCAAGAGCATGGAGACATGTTTCAAGTGGGCCTGAGAGTTTTAGTCCTTCTGATTTTCATAAAATTAAAACAGCTTCTAAGACCACAGCAGGAGTTTTTACTTAAACTGAAGAGTTTCCTCTGATTACTCTTTCTCCTGCAAAAGCCCTCTTGCTCAAAAGCCCGTTTTCTCTCTGAGCCCTCAAAGTAATGTAAGGTGTGGGAGGTGGGATTGCTCAGGATACTTACTCATCTAAGAACTGCCCTCCATCCATCCCCTCCTCATCTGCTTTGCCTCTCTCCTCCCACCCCTGGAACCAAGTCTGACAGCATTTTGTGCCAGGGGACAGCACTCACCAGCCGGGTGTGTCGTGGAGCCCTTGCTGCAGACACCCTGCTCCCTGCAGCTGGCCAAGCCACCGGCAGCTGTCACACGCTGTCCTCCCAGCCAGCCAGGTGTCCCGGGGAGCCACTTCGGGCCAAAGCTCCACTTCCTTTCGCCAGAGTCACATTCAGCTGCAAAGGTAGTTTTGCTTTGTGTTTAAAAAAAAATGGAAAGGAAGAAAGCAATCAAATGAGGGAGGGAGCCTAAAGCCTGCGCCTCAGTATGAGTCACCGAATCAAAGTTCAACAACCACATGCAAAATGCACTTGGTGAGGACACAGGCTGGCCGCGCACGGGAGCCAGGAAGACCACAGAGTGAAGAAGGGCATGAGCTCTCCAGGCGTGGGCACGTCCGTTACAAGCTCTCGCTTCTGCCACCAGCTGAGAAGAGCATCTGATCCTAGATGCTCCTTAGGAGGGTGGGTGCTGACAGCCATATAAACAAAACTGCATTAGGAGTTTGGAGTAGCAGACACATGCTATTGCATACACAATAGATGAACAACAAGGACCTACTGTAAAGCACAGGAAACTATATTCAATTTCTTGTAATGAGCTATGAAAAGAATGTGAGAAAGAATAGATAGATATATGTATAACTGAATCACTTCACTGTACACCTGAAACTAACACTGCAAATCAACTACACTTGAATAAAAAATAAAATTAAAAAAAAAACACCCTACAGTGTGCAGGAGCCAAGGTGGGCAGGACAGGGGGACGACAGACCCGGCTGTGGAGACACACTCCCCAGGAGCATGAGCGTGTCCCTGCCATTACAAGGGTCCCAAGCAGGTCACACAGTTCTTCGGGCTGGAGGACCAGAGCACTGGCCTCTGTCAGGGGTCATGTGACCCTGGGCTCCTCTCTGCACCCCTGCCTGGGGTGGGCCGCCGCTTCCCTCTCACTGGGGCAGGTGGAGCCTGACACAGACCCAGTGATCACAGTTCTCCAGAGACCACAGAGGGCCACAGACACTGCATTCTGTGGTCATTTCCTGCACTGGGGGATGCCCATCAGGGGTCAGAATAAGGAAAGAACACAAACCACTTAGCAGCCCACCCTCCAGCAAATGACTATGTCTCTAAAGTGACTTGTCCAAGGACACACAGTCATAGTTGGACACGCTGGGTTTCGAGCCTGGGAGTTGGTGCTGAGGAAACAGGACAGTCACCAGTTGTTGGTGTTTCCTGCTCTTCTTTCTTAATTTCGCATCGTATCCCACAGACGATCGGAGGCAGTCTGGAATATTAAAGCACAGAGAGCAGGGGGTCGTGGAAATACAAATTAAAAGTGTAATCAGAAACCATCAAAGAAAAAAAGAACGTTTTGCTAGAACCTGGATTAAAACAGTCGCCTCCTTGGAGCAGTAATCCCAGCTTCAAATTTTCTGGCACCAGGGATTTTCTAATACCAACTGCCATTCGTTCAGCCCCTCCCGGTATTTGGTGACCTCCCATCAGAGTGTCCTGGTGCCCACAACAGCTCTCTGGCACAGGAAATATTATCCCCATTTTTGAGATGAGGTAATTGGGGCTGAGAAAGGGTAATTAAACTGCCCAAGTTCACTCAGTAAGTAATTGAGTTGGGATTGAAACCCAGAGCCACCAGGCTCCATCATGCACGGTCACCCATGGCCTCTCAGCTCCTAAATCCCTAGTAAAACATGCATGGTTTTCAAGAGAAATCAATATTTTCCTGGGATTAAATTTTAGGAGAAGTCTAAGTCCTTATATGGAATAACATATCGGACAATACCTTCTGCTCAAGTCCTACAGAAGGTGTAAAGGGTTCAAATGCCCATCCTTCATAAAAAGCTGAGTCGTTTCAACTCAGGGAAGGGCTTCTATGTGGAAATGAGCTAACACTGTCCAGGAGCCTTGTTCTCTGAATGTCTAACTGTCTAGCAGAATACAGCGACAGCCACATACTGCCAAGGGGCTCCTTGGACGACCTCCTCCAAATACCAGACACTGAGTCACGGGATTTTTATGTATAGGATAGCAAACAATCAAGGAGGGACTTCTCTGCAGAGACTGCCAAGTGCCACCATGCTGTGCACTTAATAAAAGATGAACTTGGGCAAGGGGACTTAAGAACGCTGATCTGTGTTCAGCGCCAGGTGAACAGCACTCTGCACAGGACAGGCCCCACAGTGGAAGCAGCAAGTTGTTTTGCAGAAAAGTTGTTTGAATCTGCTCAACTGTCAGACAAGTAAGAATTTGGCAGAGACCTCAGAATTCTGTGTCTGAAATCTTGGAGACATTATGTAGACCAGAAAAATTGTTCCTCAGCTGTCTCCATAAGAAAAGAACCACCATATGGTGCCTTTCCAGTATCTGATTTAGAGAAACCTCATCTTGATTTCTCTACAGCTAAAATGATTTCGCTTACATGACTCTGAGAAGCGAAAAGTTTTGAACCACTGTTTAGGCTATTTCTCCCCCAAGGGAACAAGAAATAAGATCTGCCGGAGGTTACAGTTTTAGTTACTTGATCACTGACCCCAAACCGGAGTCTCCGTTCGAGAGGCCGAGGGCAGCAGCCTTCCACCAGCGGTGGCAACTGAGCCCACATCTACTTGCCCCTAAAAGCTGTTAGGCTTGGAGAAGGGGCGAGACAGCAGGCCTGGCACACTTCCCTGTTCTGCTCTAAGCCTAGTATTCAGTCTGCCCTCAGGCTATTTTTCTCCACTCTGGCCCTTGCGGTGGGAGACAGAGGTCTGTGCTTTCAGGAAGCAGCTGGAGGTGTTGAGACAGTGGGTCCTAAACGCGGGGTACGGACCCTCCCCGGGGAGGAACACACGAACGTGTGGGCAGATGATGTGGGTTGTTTCAGTGGTTCCAGGACCCTGGAAGCCCGAGGACAGACCGAGGCAGGACTGCTGGTTTGGCTCCCTCGGCTCTGTCCACAGCATCAGGGAGCACCGGGAACAGTCTCCTACTGTATAATCCGTGTTCTCTGAGCGCCAGCAGAGTGTAGGCACTGGCAGGGCCAGGACACGCAAAGGCTCGGCCCTGCTGGGGACGCCCAGCCCCTGCCCGTGACTCCTCCGCCCGCAGCGCGTGGGAGTTCTTGTTTCTCTGTCTCTCCACCGACATTTGCGAGTGTGAGACTTTTTGCCTTTTTCCAGCCTGATGTGTGAGAAATGGTGTATCGTTTCTCATGGCGATTTTTTTTTAACTTTAATTTCCCTGATTACTGTTGAACTTGAGGATCTTTTCATATGTTTCTGGGGCGTACAATTTTCTTTTTTCCCCCCTATTGTTCATTTTCCTACCACGTAGACTTTTTATTAATTGGTATTAACCTTCATCTGTTCTTCATGCTTTATCTTCCGTATGTGCCGGGACTTCCAGCTCCCGGTCAAATGCTTGCCTTTCAGCTTCGTTTACAGTGTTTTGGGGCTGCAGCTGTTTTTACTTCTATGTTATCAAAACTACTGTTTTTTCCTTCATCATTTGTGCTTTTGGAATCTTGTTTAAGAAATCCTTCCCTATCCTGAGACTGTAAAGATATTTCCTATACTGTCTCTAAAGTTGTAAGTTTCTATTTTTTGTAATCAGACCTTTTATCATGATCTGTTTTGTTTTTTGGTTTTTTTTTTTAATTGAATGGTATGCTTGTTAGGATAGGCGGCTTGGTGTCATGATCTCGGAGTCAGGCTGCCCTGATGTGATTAGCTGTGTGACCTTGAGCAAATTATTTAACCTCCCCTTGTCTCCATTTCATTATATGTAAAATGGGAATAATAATCACATCTATCTCATAAGGATATCCTGGGAATTTAATTAATGCATGTGGAGTGCTTATAAC